GAGTCTTACCATGCGTCCTGCTAAAACTATTAAGAGGTTGGTATTCAGGGTCACTGGGGTCTATAGGGAAACCAGACCGAGCAAAGAAGACATGAGCATACAAACTCCCATTATTCTGTAATGTCTGCAACAAAACAACATTGTAACTCATTGATAATACAGTGATATAGGAGAAGGAATACATAAAGAAAACCCAGTCAAGCATGTGATATTTCACCTGAGATGGATAAAACTTGAGTGACATAGTCCTAATACTCTCTGGTGTCCATACAGCATAAGGTATATTCGTCTCATGCCAAAAAAGAGCAGCTTCGTTGCCAAAGTCATTGAACTTGTCATTCTCCGAAAGATAAAACCACATATCCTGGAGAAACAAACATTGGTAATCAAAATCCAATTCAAAATCTTGAAAACCCAAATCAAACATAAAAATAAAAAAAAAGCAGATTCAATACATACGAATTGAATCGCAAGACTTGTTAATCTAGAACAATTATAATTACCAGTGATTCGCCTTTGTGAAAGAGATTGGTCATGAGGTGAGACTGAGAGGAGGAGGAAGGATCCATTGGTTTCTGTTTAGGTGAAAAGAACTTTGAAGCAAAATACCAGAACACGGCGATTCTAACGATCCCGGAGATGGTCGAACCAATCCCACCGGCTTGTCGCTGCTGAGGCTGAGCACCGCCGTCACCAGCCGCCTCGGCAACCGCCGCCGTTTGTCCTACCGGCGGGGCCATATTCGCAAATCGAGAAGAGAGATACGGCGGAGGATTGAAAAGCAGCTCAGATGTGAAATTCGCCGAGGAGATCGTAAAAGCAGAATGTGAGATATTTATGGGATTTTTATATATATATAATTTGATTTTGTTGTTGTTATATAAAAATCAGAATAAAGAAATGGATTTGGTTTGGTCGTGACGAAGCTCTTCCAATGCAATGCAAGTAAAAAGACACAACACAACCACGTCTTCTCACACTACCGTTTAATTACATCTAAACACCTCTTTGTTCTACATATTTTACGATTATTCCCAAACATTTTCCAAAATGCTAATAATTGGGATGCAACCTTTTTACGTCTAACATGAGTTTATTTTAAAATACATGGGTTTGGTTTGCCAGTTTGTGATTGGACGATTTTAAGCCTAAACGTTCATAGAAGATATATACCAACAAGAGAAGCCTTATGAAACTTGGCTTTGGTCGCATGAATTTAGAGTAACCATGCTTCCTTACTTCAAGTCTTTTCTTTTTTTTTTAACTAAAATGTAGAAAATAGTCTATTCTTAGATTTGTCCTAGTAAAAAAATTGGAGAACGATTAAGTCTCTCTCGAATCTCCTTATATTCTCCTCACATACCAAAAGCCAAACACAAGAAAACTAGTCTTGTTTAGCAAGCAGACCGAGTTTCAGTCATCGGCATCGCAGAAGCCATGCTTGTTCATGAGCTCTTCCAAAGACTGATCATACGCTCTCTCAAGCTCAAGCCTTTCCTCGTAATGCCTCTTCTTCATCTCTGCCATCTTCTTCTCTTGCTCTTTAACCAGATTCTCCCTCTCCTCTACAAACTTCTCCATCTCTTTCTCTTGAAACTCTATGAAGCTTGACAGCTCCTCAGCTCTGCACACAAATCAAACCACAATAAGATTTAGTTACTCTCATCTTCTGTCTCCAGAAAAAAAAAAAAGCCAGATTGTAAGTATGTATGTATACCTCTTTCGGGGATCATCCATATGCTGCTGCTCAACAACCTTAGCACGTTCCTGCTGCTGCAACATCTCAAAATTCTCTTCCTTTGCGTCTCTATTCTCATGTATCTGCTTCACTGATTCTTTGAAAAACCTGTCTTGCGAATCCATCTTCAAACCACAGGTTTTTTTTTTTTTTGGACAAGTTAAATCAAAAAAGTGTATCAGCAAGTAAAATACAAAATGTCAAGTTTGTGTTTCTTAAGAAGAAGAAACATACCTCTTCTCTGTTCTGCTCGTGTTGCATCTTGGTTCTTTGTCTGACTATTCGATTGTCCTCTGCAGTTTTACGCAGCTTCTCGCTCAAAATTTCCAGAGACTCCTCAACCACCTTAACGTGCTTGCTCTGTTTTGTGAGCTTGTTCTTATACCATTTTAGCTGCTGGTTGTCCTCAGCTATCTGCCTCAAGTCCTTCACAACCATCTCGTGGTGAGACTTCAACTCGAACTTCACCCTTGTTTTCCCTAATGAATCATACAGAAATATATTAGATGCATTCACAAGGACCAACAAAAGTCTAAATCTCAATGACAATAGTTAAAACAATATATTGAATTTGTGAGGGAGAGAACCGTGAGAGTGTTGATTAAATTCGTCCAGATCTTGCTTTGTTGCAAGGAAACCAAACAGTTGGCGACGACCTCCAGAAACCCAACGACGTCGACGGTCCCAGGCGTTTCTGTCTAACCCTTGCTCAACTAAGTCCCTGTGGAGACGTTCAGCCTCAACGTAGCCAGTGGCAGTGCTTTCAAATATCAAAACACTCATCCCACGATGGCCCTGTGGACCATAGGAATGGCGTGCTTTGATAGCAGGATACTTGTCAAAGGATTCCAGTAGCTCTTGGTTGCCCATACCGAGCCACTGAAATATAACAAAGTGACATTTCCACCTAAGGTCAGCAGATTTCAAGAGAAGAATTAAAAAGTTAAAAGACAGAAGTAGTTCACCTTATCATTATCGTCTTTGTCCAGTCTAGTATTCATAATGATGACCATTGGAGGCCAGACAATTTCATGATCCTTTTCTTCCTCATCCAAACCCTTCCACTGCCCGTACATGTCACCACACGGAATGACAGAAGCTCCTCGAATTTGCAGATCCTTGTCAAGAACTTCAGCCAACTCCCTATGGAGCTTAACTCTTCTAGCTCCCTTTGTCCTCGCGTGAGCTAAAAGAGGCTGCAGGTTATACCAGTCAATAGCACCTGGTCCGCCTTGACAAGCGGGACAATGCCACTGCCTCTGCGGTTCGTTTATCTCCTCAATCGACAAGCTATCCAAACTCTCGAAAAACTTTTTGAACCATTTGTTCTGCTTCCGTGTCCCATGGCTCTTTTGACTCACATCCGAGTCACAGTCATCACTGGCAAGGTCATCGTCAGAATCATCCAAACCATCAGAATGATCCTCTTCCTCAGAAGCATTATCCAGATTATCCTCCATGTTTGGAACCTCCTGCGTAGCTGTGCGCTGACCAGAACCTGCTCTAGACTGCCAATTCCATCCTCCTTCCAAAGGAGGGCGAGTTACAGGTGCGGGAGCCACGTAGTGGTTCTCATACCCTCTGTTCATTCCTTGTCCTCGACCAGCAGAGACCTTAGAATCAGTACCTTGTGTTCCCCTACCGTTGCCATTACCTCTCCCATAAACATTATTCCCCCTCCCTTGTTGCTGGCCACCCCAAGCTCTAGGAGGGTTCTGGTTATGAGAAGCCCAAGACTTTCCAGAAGACGCATTCGCAGGTTTGTTCTTGTTCTTTTTGTAAATGACTTCCCATTCTCCTCCATCGTCTTGTGAAGGAGCCAGATTCGTCCCTGCAAGACCTTGAACCAACTGTTCGACCTCTGGGTTGGAACTACCCTGAGAGACGTTCTTTCCCTTAGACTTAGGAGCAGCCCTAGAACTCATTTCGAACCAACAGAGACGCACCTGTACATGCATCAAAGAAAACCACATTCACCAACCAATATCTTTAACTTAAAATCCACACAAGTAAACGCATAGGCTTAACAAGAAAACGTCAGAAGCACAAACCGTAGATCAACCCGAAAAAACATGAAACGAAACTCAAAAACCAAAGATTTTCGCTGTGATAGACTCCGATCAACGACTAGGCAACGGAGAAAGCACAAGAAACCGAACATAGACAATATAACGCAACCGCGTTACATAAATATATTAGAAACAGAGAAAAACAAAAAAAAACCCCAAAAACCCCCCACTTCGGAATCGAGAGCATTAGGGCATTTTTTCCGGCGAGAACAAAAGAAATCGAGCACAGAATGCAAAGAGAAGGAGCGATCGATGGGTGGAAGGAAGAACTTACAGAGAAAACCGACGGAGATTTCGCAAGATTAAACGCTCGGAAGTGTGCTGGAGAAAGAAAGACGAGAGTGAAGAATAATAAATAATGACAAATGGGAAAATCTTTTGGGCTTCGCTTCCCTAAAACGGCATCTTTTCTTCCCCAAATCCGGACTCCAAAATTTCTGATTCAATTTGATTTATTCTTGTTTTGTTTGTTTGTTTCACCGTAATGGACCCAAAGTAAGCCCAAGTTTCTATTGAAGTAAAAAGGCCCAATGATAAAGTCTTTTCTTGTTCTCTTCTTCTCCGACAAAGAGAAGAAAAGCGTCGTCGTCTCTTTGATGGCGTAGTAATTGTGCAGAGATCCAACAACACTTGAGTTCTACCGTCACAATCCGCGCGAGATCTGAGAAGTTCCTAATACCTCAGCTAGGAAAGAAGAGCTTTTTAGACATGGATAAGATGAATCAAGCTTTTGAGAAGATGAAGATGTTGGTAGGTATGGAGGTTGAAGACGAGCAACGAGCTGCTGAAGAAGAAGGCTCGCTCTCATTCATCGATGATCTTAATCGCAATTGCGCTTTAACTACCAAACAGGTTCATAATAACTAAACCTCTCACCTTTGCTTTTGTTTTTCTTCTCTTCGATCAAGTGATCTGCATTTGGCTCTTTCTTGTAATTTTCGAGTTTATTAGCAACGATTGATCTCATATGCATACTGTGTATCTGCTTAATAAATGAAGTTGAGTTCGTGAGCGCTCTGTGTATTTGACTCATTGATGTACAAGGATAAGTTTTGAGTGTCTGTTAGATGTAGATGAAGTGATCAAGTAAGTGTTCAGCAGTTCTATGTTCACATATAAATCCTAGAGGGTAATATAAATCTTAGATGCATGCACAGAATTATTGATGTACTGGAGAAGGATGATAAAATTTCATGTAATACGACTACATTTGGTTAGAAATTCAGTTTGATTGATAGGGCTAGTTTGATACATGTTATATTCTTAGGTTTGTTTACTGTACTATGTCTCTATGAAGTTGTGGTTTTTCTCGTTTTACAGAAACTTGTTGAGTGTCATGACTCATGAAATGGATTTCTCTTTGGCTAATATGTTGCTTTTTTCTCCGTGATAAAACACAGAGATTCTATGGCTTTGCAATTTGCTTGTCAGCAGGCTTGGCCTGTACACTTTTGGTAAGAACAACTCTTATCAGAATGCCACTATTCTTTTACCTTTAAACTTGGTTTAGCTCTATACTTCTTCACCTCTGTGGAAAGTTTTGTCCTTTGAGTAGTCTTGGCTCCTTTACTGTTGCAATAACTCTTTTCCTGTTTGACAATGCAGTCAATGCTTGTTTTCTTCAATCCTGTCAAGTTTGGCATCACATTCACTCTGGGAAATTTGATGGCACTTGGGAGGTCTGTATTGGATTTTTAGTTTAGCTTGTAATATTGCATTTGTTTACGCAATTCTGTATCAACGAATGTTTCTCCATTTTCTTTTCTCTGCTCGTAGATTTTAAGTTTTGTGTCCTTTTTGTATGGCAGCACAGCATTCCTTATAGGTCCACAGCGGCAGGTGACGATGATGCTTGATCCAGCTCGTATCTACGCTACTGCTTTGTATCTAGCAAGCATTATCATTGCCTTATTTTGTGCTCTCTATGTAAGTGGGGTTTCTCAGTTTAATCTACTTAGTAGTACGCAATATACTGAGCAAAGTAAAAATTTGGTTAAAACTAGGTAGTGGACTAAGTACAATCTGTCATTTTATTTCTGTACAGGTTCGTAACAAGCTGCTGACGCTGTTGGCTATCATTCTTGAGTTCACTGGTCTAATTTGGTATGCTAAAATTTTGGTTTATGTTTATCTCGTTATTTATTCTTGGTCACTGCATCCAGTCATAATGCAGTTACATAATTCACTCATCTAAACATCTATTAGCTCTTGCATCTGAATTGGAAAACGGAACTTATGGTGCACATGTGAGGGGGCTTTATTTAAAGCCAGCAAGCATGATTGAAACAATGTGTGCCTAACTTGGATTGGTAGCTATTACATTGCCGTTGCCTTTCAAGATTTAGAGTAGTAGGTAGTCATGTAATTACTTTTGGTTTGAAAGATATACTGGGACAAAACCAACTTCTCACATGGAAAACTTAGCCTAAATCTGAACATGTGTAGAACTCCAGAATTCAAGAATCTAATCTCCCAATTAAGCTCGAACTAGGAATGACTTGGTGAACTTTGTGTACTTTTATGGCTTCTGAGCTTGTCACAAAAAGCTGTCAACATTCATGATGGAGAATCCCTTCTATTCTTTAAAACTGCAGGTATAGCTTGAGCTACATCCCGTTTGCAAGGACCGTGGTCTCAAAGGTCTTCATGACTTGTTTCGACACGGAGTTTTAAGCATCCCCATATATATAAACTCAAAAAATCCTCGTTCCAAAACCATTGTGCTTTGTTTTGATGGAACGATAAGCCCTTATAGTCCATGCCCGATGGCTTATCTTTGGAGCTCGTTTTGGTTTGTACTTGCTTCTTAACATCAAGTAGAGTTTTTTTGTACATTATTTTACTGTGGACTTTAACATGTGGATGAGTTGCTTCCTTGTCTTTTTCCCATCTTGTTTGGATGATCTCAGAAAGAAAGTGTAGTAAAGATAGATACAATGAATTCAGATATTAGATTTCTTAAGGGG